CCCCAAAACCCCAAAACCCCAAAACCCCGAAAAGCTGAAATGTCTTTCTGTTGGGAACTGTTTAAATTAAAATAAGTCAATTATCAAATTATTAATTTTGCTTCGCTGAGTTAAGTGTGCTTTCAATAGTATCCACTTGAGGTACTATAATTATGAGCATTACTATTATATCCATTAGTAGTTGCATTGAGGTTTTTATTCACACCTTTCTCATATTTATATTGCTTGATCATATTTTGAATGTCATCTAACATTCTGTGCTTATTTTCTTCCTTAAATCTACCATCAAAGTTTAGCTTAACCGCACTTTCCTTGAGATCCTTTTCTCTGTCTTGCATTAACACTCTCATATCTTTTTCCACTTCTTAGAGTTTTACTAGCATCTCATCGTTTCTTCTCTCTGCAAGCTTTAAACGATCTTATAGCTCCTCTTTTTCATCCAGAATTTCTCTCTAGTCACGCTTGTAGTTTTTCTCCTTTTCTTTTAACTAGATATTTTCTTGCTTTAGCTTTTGCAATTCTGCTGATATTGAGTCGAACTTTTAATCGAATTTGTCTAAGTGCATCTCGTGTGCTTGCTTAAAGTACTCTAACTCACCCTGAGCCTAAAGCAATCTTTGTTCAAAGTCTTGATTCAGCTTTTTCAAATTAACATTAGCAATGTCAAGGTTATTTCTTTCTCTAACTAAATTTTCATTATCAACCTAGTAATATTTAAGTCTAGCCTCAAACTCAGCACCTTTTTTCATCAAATCAACTTTGTCATATTCTTTGGCCTTTATCTTTGTTAATTATCTTTCAAGTTCCTCATTCATATCTGCCAGTTAAGATAGTTATCTCTTGTACTCGGATTCATTTTGCTCTGCTTGCTATAACTATGCATCTTTTTCTTGCATTTGCTCTTCAAGCTTATCTCTCACAATGCATACTTAAATCATATCTTATTCCTTGTTCTTTTTTGAAGCGATTTCGTCCTAGACTCTTTGCTATTCCTACTGAATATTTTTATCCATTTCCTCTACAAGCATGTGAAGTTTATTTATCTCATTGTATGCCTTCTTTTTATCTTATTCAGCCTGAATTTTTTACTCCTCTAATTTTTGATAGTCTAAATCAATTGATTACATTTACTTCTGGATCTCAATTACTGCTTCCTAATCCTTCTCGATCTTATGGTTAAGTTCCTCAACTTATTGAATTAGATGAGCTCTATCCTCATTTGACTTTTACAGTTCAAATTCCATTCTTTGATATTCTTCTTTCAATTAGAAAATTTTCTCCTCTAGCTCTATCACTTTTTATCTATCGTCTTAGCTTGATTTGACAGCATCTTATAGCCTTTGCTCGAAAAAATTTATTTCTTTGGTCTTTTTACCCTCATAGTCTCTAATAATGTTCACTTCATGTTCTTTAAGAATGTCATAGTTAGATCTTAACTTATCATTCTCCTCCTTTACTGATTAATACTTTTAATCAGACTCTTCTTTCAATTTTATTAATTCTCTATTTTCCATTTCTAAGATTTCTTGAGCTTTATGAGATTAATTTTTATCTTGCTCTAGCTCACTTAATTTTTGCTAGAGATCTTTCATATGCTGAGCTAGTTCTTATGATTACTAAGTCAGATTCATCTCTCTTTCTATCTTAAGTTAGTTAAACTCATCAATAGTGGCTTAGAATTCAACTTAAGCACTTCGTATTAAGGAATCTTACTCTTCAATCAATTCTTCTTTTTAGGCAATTTCAACTCTCATATTTCTCATAATCTCTACTTACTCATCAGATACATTTTCTAATTCCTCTTTTTCCTTAAAAATTTGTTTCACTCTGAGCTTCAATCCTTCAAAATCATTAAGCTTGATAAGTCTAGTAATATCTTAAAGAGCATCTTGCTGTGACTGATAAACTTTGTCTTATTTCAACTGATGCACCTTTGAATTTACCTACTCTGACATGGGTAAGGAGATTATAGAATGGTTTAGACTGGATCTTTGGAAGCTCTAATTATGAAGATATACAGTTAATGGATTCTTTACTGCCTAAGACTATTAACTTGGAGATTATGAAATTTGCTATTAATATTGTAATTATCCACCATTTTTAGGATTAGCTCTGAATCCCTAGGAAATAGTTGATATATTTTTATCTTCATTTTTAGGTGAGAAGTGTTCTGAAATACTATTTTACTTTTATTGCAATGAGTTCCTAAATGGATTAGCTTTGTTTAGAAAGTCATTTTCAGAGTGAACGCTAGATTATATTCCTGATTCTAAGTTCAGAGATAATGAATGCTAGGCCAACTTTTAATTATCATTCTGCTTTTGATATACCTAGATTTCGTTTAAATTGGCATAAATTTGCTCATTTTCTTGATTGTTATCCTTGCTAAGGCCTTTTTAAAACAGCTATCTATTATTGATAGATTGATAGCTGGTTTGGAAATTGTTCTTGCTAAGATTATGTGGTCTCAAACCCTGAACTATATTAAGCTAGGGTTAGTTTTATTGATTGTTTAATCTATGGTTATCGTTCAGCTGTAACTCTTAGTCAGAATAGACTTCCTAATCCTATGCATCTTCTGTGTAAATATGCTAGTTGCTTACACTCTTATGAGTACTCATCATGTTTTCACTTAAAGGATTTTATCTTTCAACTGAACTTTTACCAGATCTAAGATATCTTTGATCTTGTTCGCAGTTTTAATCAAATGATCTGTTTGTGTGTGGATTATAGTTATATTGCTAATTTTCTCTCTTCAAATTTTATACTCCGCTGAAAGAGTTACAGTTTTATTAATTTCGGCTTAGGTATTGATTCTAACTATTTGGACTTAAAGGTAGATTGCTTTAATATCTAAACTAATTTATCTGGTCTTTCAAAAAGCTAAGTTCTTTGATTTATAAATCTGATTTTTCTCTGTCGAAGGAGCTTGAATTTTCATAGAGCATTCTAAGTGTTGCATCAACTTTATCTAGCATATTGAAAGACCATCTTTCTTTTTCATGTTGACCCATTTCAAATGGTCGTTATCTTTTAAGATAGACTTCATCTCTTATTTGATCTAAAAGGATTTAAACTTTATCAATTGCTTAATAGCTTTATCTTTAATCATAAGTCAATTGTCTTTACTCAGGAATACTGTTAATTGAATCATTTTGCTATGAGTTTCTCGAACTCGGTTCTCTTTGATGCTTCTACTTCTTAATAATGCACTCTCTGATTCTAGCACAAAATTTTATGGCTGGTAGTGAGTGATGAAAAGCTTAAGGACTAGGGTTAACATTACAGATCAAAATGATGTTTGAACTTTAAGTCAAGCTATTTCTAATGCTATTTACTAACTTAACATCACCTTCATCATGATTTTAAGATTTTTTTCTAAGGGCTGATCTAAGAATCTAAGAAGATAAGGCATTAAAGCTTCTAGTGACAAATTATCTAATTGACACTTCCTTGTAATAGCTATCTTCAGCAACAGCTTATTCGCTCCCGCTTAATTCCACAAAATTTAGTTAGGCCAGCTCGATAAGTTTTTTCTAAGGATTTCTCTTCATTAGAGTAAGTCCGATGATGAAATGAGACTTTTTTCTAAGATCTGATTCTTACATTGAAACACTTTCCAATCTTCTATTCTTAAAGGCCTCTTGCAAGACGCTGTAGAAATCTTCTAAGTTAAATATAGCTTTTTCAGTGACATTAGCTAACTTGCTTACTACTTCCTTGGTTTCATTATCAATATATGAGCTTACTCTAGCATTTTAAGCAGATAATGCTTATCTGCTAGTATTTAATAGATCGAGTACTTTATCTACGAATATTTAATAGACTTATATTTTCAAAAACAGTCTCTCAGGGACATTTGGATCCATCTAATTCATACTTTATCTGACTTTTTAGTTGTAACTCTAGATATCTCTTTAATTTTGAGTATCAAAGTTACCATCATCTTCTTCATCACTATACATCATTCTTTGATTAATTGCTTCTAGCTCCTCTTGCCTTTATTCTGAATTCTTTACTATGTTGAAGATATCCTCGACAGCTCTAGGCAAAATTCCCCTCTCAGCTCCTGTTTTACCTTTTAGAGTGTAAGTTTTTCCGCCTTCTGTAGGTCCAAATAATATTACACTAGCACTTGTGCCTTCAATAAATCCTCTGATTGCAGGACTTACCACTGAATGATAAAATTTATCTTGTCTATAGCTTTCATTAAAGACCTGATCAAAGTGAAAGCTTTCTATCTATTAGTTCCCAATCATTTGATTCCTAATTGAATTAATTGAATATGTCAAACTCACATAAAATATTTGAGCTCTTCAGGATCATTGACTTATTCATTGATATATCTACCTTAAATAGAGGTTTCAGTAGTTGCAATTATTCCTGAACGTTCCTTGGTAGTAAAAATACAATATTTTTTTCCCTTGTCAATGTAGCCTGAATTACTCATGAAATTAACTTTTTAGCTTTTATTCATTGAGGTATTCCTTCCCTTGCTGTTTGATTTTGAATTTGATCTTTGCAATCTTTAAGAGTCTTTTGATGTTTATCTCACTGAGGCTTGATGTCCTAAAATACTAATGAATAATTGGAAATTACTAAATGGTGATTAGTTGTCTTTGCTATTGGATCTTGATGCTCTATGTCTGACACTAGTATAAGATTTTTGCATTGATTGATTTAGATTCATATTATTTCTTGAGCTAATATTGCCATTAGGATTTTGATTAGTTCTCATAGTATTGAATTGCTAAGGCTCTCTGATCCTGCACACTATCTTAACATTTGACTTATTGATTTGACCACTAATAAAGTTGCTATCTCTTGAATTAAGATGCAAGTCTAGATTTAAAGGTAGAGTTGAGTTGAACCTTTGCTGATTGTAATTCATAATTAATTTAAATTCAATTTATTAATTTGTTTGTTGGGATTAAGCGTATAATTATTAAACAACTATTATATTAAGTTCACTATCATTATTCACTCAAAGCTATGATCCCATTTCTGACTAATTACCTCTGAGTTCACTTTATCTTTGATTCAGCATTTTTAGAAATAGCTCCTACTAAATTTAAAATTAATTCACTAACTTATGACTTACTTCCTGCTGAGATCCAGTTGTATCTGGATGATTTTAAGAAAGTTAAGTACTTCTTATTGATGGCAACTGTATGCTTTCCTTTATTCTTATGGGCTATTTCACTGTCTTTGATTATTGATTAAATATAATGTTATCTTCTTCTGAGTCTGAATCTTGATTAGCTCCTCCAGCGGTAGTTCTTTTCTTCTTAAAGCCGTCATTAAGCATCTTCTTAGTATCCATTAAATAGGATATCTTCATTGTATTGCCAATTTAGTATCCCTGTTACTTTAGAAGTGCTCCATCAGAGGCATTTCTTTGCATTGATTTAAGAGGTCTTTACATCTACTAATTCGGCACAGTGTACTTCTCGAAGATGCCCACTGGCTTGTTGACTTGGAAGTTACTCTCCATCTCCTCGTCCTAACCCTAGTCCACTATTTTCTTATTTCTAGCCAGATTTTTAATAATTAGGTTGTTTTTCTTGGTTGCCATGCTTTGCTTGTTGTTAGAGATGCTTAGATTTTACTTAATGGATTGACTTTGATTTTGAACTTTATCATAGGGAAAAGATCCCTGGTTGATCGTGAAGTTCTTGGAATGGATAATAGAAGAAGCCTCATTCTAAGGATTCGAGATGTTTATACTCAAGGGCTCAGTGTTGGTCTTGCCTATATTATACATTTAATATGCTTGATGCTGCATCGAATGGTCAGACTAATTGATGTTATTGAGAGAAATTTCACTGCCCTTGATCTCAGTTTCATCCTGATTCGCATTTATTCCATTTGATCTCTAGGACTAATGATTTCCTATTGGATTCAACTAAACTGATTCACTTGGCATGTGTGACCTTTGAGAGGCCTTTCCTTAATCCACTGACTACAGCTGAGAGGTATCAGCATTTTATGTCATCTTATTGCCAATCAAATATTGCTGATTAACAGAGATATCCTCGGAGCCAAGCATTAAATTGTTATGATTAAATGGCTTTCTATTGTTTACAATGTTTAATGAGTACTTAGCATTCAAGATTGGTTGATTGTAGTTGTGGAGATCCATTGTAGTAGTCTGACTCATGCTCTAGTTTCTATTCAGCATGCTTTTTTAGTTCTATGAGTTATATCCTGATTGCTTCTAAGACGGCATAGTGGGGTTAGCTTAGAAATATAATGGCTTAACCTTTGACCCCTTAAGGCCATAGGTCTACCCTCCTAAATTCATGCGAGAAAGTCCTTTATCGACCATGTGCAATTAGACATTTTTCTTCGAGTATCTTTCCTAGTCAAATTACTCAGCCTCAGAGAGCACTTATTGTCTCTTAATACCATGTAAACCCTTAGGAAGAGAGTATTAATGCACTAAGTACTGGTTATACCTCTCTGGCTGAGGTAACTTGGAGTCTTGAATGTTAGATAGCTCCACTCGTTTGAACAGTTCTCTGAAATTTATCATATAAGGTGAGCTCTCATCCACAATGTTCTCCAGACTTCTCAGTTCCTCGTTGGATCTCTCCTAAAAGACCATAGTGCTCTATTCAGCTTTTTGCCTTGAATTGGTGACTCTGATGTCGGGCTGACTTCTTGAGTTACTTTGCTTTTTAGATTCACTAAATGCTTTTTACTAATGAGACTCAGCACTCAACTAATTCGACTACAGATATTGAATGGATTTGACTTCGATATCATTTTGAAGCTATGAAGCATCAGACTGACTCTGCATGTTATATAAAGATTAACTTATTCCTAACTCTTAATCCATTGGAGGAGACTCCACTCTTTTCTCCTTTAGTCTTCTGATAGTCTTCTTCTTCTTGACTCTGCGCTTTTCCTTTATTATTTTCTTCTTTTTAGCTGTTTCTGTTGAAATTGAAATTATAGCTGGCTTCTATATTTATTCTTCTTCAAGAGGCTTTGAATCTTTTCTCAAGTTTTTATACTCAGCACCAGTGATTGAGCCTTGAACTACATCATAAGAATTCTTAGGTTTACTAACAATTGGAACGAAATCTTCATCAGATGATGCATCCACTTCAACATTGACTTCCTCCTCTTCACTGTATTCAACCTCAACCTGCTCATATATGTCTTTTTTTGGTTGAGCAATTTTTATATCGTGAGTGAGTCTTGGCAATCTGAATGTATTTTGAAGCCTTCTATAGGACGAATCATAGGGTACTTTTCTAGACAAGATACCAATCTAACCTTCATCGACTCCAAAGTATTGTACTGCATAGGTGTAGTTCTGTCTACCCTTCTTGATGAAGTTAATAAGACCTATTTTGTTAAGTTCGAATGCTTCCTATCCAAAACTACTTGCAATTCTTTCAAACTCAGTTCTAATAATCTAATTTTTCATTAATTCCCCAAATATGAAGTTATTGTCTTGATCTGGATTTTATTCTAATTACTCAGCTTGCTTTATACTAAATATTGTAAATGAATTTAAAATGATTATGAGGTAGAAATAATGAAACTTACAAGAACTGCTAAAGCTCTGAAGTGTAGTAGAGATACTTCGGCTTGGGGTGTTCTGGCACTGTAAATAACAGCTTTTTATAAAATTGCTGTTCATCTCCATCTTCAGCACCACCATCTAACTAAGATACCAAATAAGCAGATCCTTAGTTGTCATCGATTCTATTTTTGTCTTGGTATGTCATTTATGACTACTCCTGCCTCAATTTTTCTAGTTTTTCAAGCTTTTCTCTTTCAAGAGTGGCCTCATCTTTCGCCATCAAATCTATCACAATTTGATATTAGGAGCAAGAAGGATCATCTATTTTGAGTTTATCAATCTTCAAACGATCAAGTATTTCTTGCCTGTACTTCTCAGGAATACTTGAAAACCAATTTACTTTGTGCTAATGACCCTAAATAGACAATCAGTTAAAATTCATTATTTTACTCTATCTTTGATAAATATTTCCATTTTAATTTATTTTTTATTACTTTCTCTGCATTTCTCTAATTTCCTTCTTATGGGGTTTTGGGGTTTTGGGGTTTTGGGGTTTTGGGG